GCGTAGAATTTGGGAAGGATTAACCAGTCACTTGCTCCTCTCGTACGCCTCTGATGGTAGCCAGAAACTTTTATTTAACATAATTTAGTAGGGTGTATATTATCTACACTTCCGCCAAATATGACAATAATACGTCAAATAGTTTTAAAGTACTGGACAAAAATCATTTTTAAACAAGACTTAGAATGGAAACATATTTTATTTAGGTGATTTGGGTTAAATCTTCATAATTTGAGCTCAGGATTTTATAGTTTAAATATTTCCAATTAGTAATGAATCACCCTGTATAATACTAATTAAATTAATATATGGAAACGTAATGCAAATAGTTCCACTGTGTGTATTGTTAAACATGAACACTTCAGAATTGTAATAGCAACCTTAAGATTAATATGTATATTTTTATGTTAATCATAAACACGTTTAAAAGTTGTTACTATGACTCTTAATAATTTGTTGTATTATATTATATCCCTCATTTTATGTGAGCATATAAACATAAATTGTAGGGTAATAACTAAACGGCCATAATACAGCAACTGGCGAAAGCTAGTGATGAAGATGTTGATTGTGCCAAAGATACTTTAAGACACTTTACAAGATAAAAGGTGTTTATGAAATTTTGTGATTATTCAAAAATATAATAGACGAACTCAAAATTGGTAAAATTGTTTATTTTTAATCCCATATATCGGTAACGTTAACATTTCTTGATTTTAACTGTTTAAAAATGACTTATTTTACTTTCAGAGCATGTTGAAAGGAAGGAGTGATCCTCAAGAAATATTTCTAAATACGGCTTTTAAAAAATTTACGTATGTCGAGCGTATAATTCTTTTTAAGTGTCAGTTTGTATTTAATTCAGAGCCGTGCGTAGTTATCACGGAAATGACTCGTATCTTTGTCGGACACGGCCATATATCACACTAACAAGCAGCTTGTTTTTGCCAGAATGGACCTTTGTCATTATTCGACAATTTCGCATTACTCATACGCGAAAAAAGAGCGGGACTTTTGAATCTAGTAATTTTTCGAACACTTTTTGCTATCTCTATATAGTAGGGAGTCAGTGAAACTTTTTTGGTACACATTCATTCGCACAAGGCTAAATTATAAATATGTCGTTACTTCTTATCCTGTAGAATATGGACATAGATGGCAATCTATCTAGCAGTGAAATGCCCTGTCAGCAAGCAAGAAGGTACTGTGAGCCGAATTTAAGAAGTTCTCTACAAACTTTTGATGCAAATAATATCTGAAAGTTTAGAGTTTGCGTTTCTATGCATATTTTCTCCCCATGCTTTTTTAAAACGTCATCATCGAGGGCTCCATCGCTGCACAGCAAACTGTTTCCAAAGTATTAATGAACGAAATATTTGTAATTATTTCACATTGCGCAAATAACACTTCTAAAAGTGTTACTGGACCCTTACCAATACTGTCAAACGCAAAAACAAAATGACATTTGCGGATGTGTAATTGGAACTCAGAGTAGGAAACATAACAATAAATTTTGATGATTTTAAGCGGAAGTAGAATTTGCGCATGAGTAATAGATATCTTCAATAACGAGAAAGGTCTATTCTGAAAATTTTTTGTTAAGCAATTCTATATTATGGTTCTAAATTTTCTAATGATTGTCTAAATGAATGCTCAGAAATTTCATTGTAACATTCAATGTTATGACTTTCAAGGGTTAGCATTTTTCTTTTCTTCTTTTCTTCCATCCTATTTGGACAGAAATAGTTGGCGTCGGACCATGCTTTAATTTTCTTAATGTCAAAAGATATGGTGTGATAAAGAACCCAGATGTTATTGTTGTGCCATAAAATCGTAGTGACATCAGCAAATAGAGTGAAAGTACTTGCAATGTTAAGTTGAGTAAAGCCATTTATATAAAGAAGGAATAAAATGGGCCCAAACACAGAACCCTGAGGAACTCCCCAACTTATATCTAAAACTTGAGAGTCCTTAGTAGCTCTTGCCATTTGCCTACGTTATAAAAAATAAGGTTTTGTCCAACTCAGCACTTCGTCTTCAATTCTGTAAACTCGATGTTTTTGAAACAATACTATGTGATTGACATAATCAAACGCCTTATAGTCAAATCTCCGAATTAATGTTCGAATAAGCAAGTTCAAGATACGAAAATATCCTGATAATTGATATAGGCAACCAATAACGCTTATGTGTAATTTTCGATGGATTTTCTCAAAATACTTCGTATTGGACATACGTTGAATTGTCTCTAAACAGCTTTGTCATTTTTTATTAGGTCGACAGAATTTTACAACGTTCCACAGGGGACCTATTTTCAAACCGTGTGAGTACTCATTTCTCTCAAGATTCTCATCAGAAATGTCATACGTCAATGTGGAAACGCGGTTTTTAAAGGCCTCGAGGATTAAAATTCTTAGGAGGATATTAATTATCTCTAAATAAACCGTGAGAAACAATCAGTGAGTTTACACTGGCCCTTAGGACCCTAAAAATACTGTTTTACGTTGACGTATGACATTTCTCTCGAGAGAAATGAATTCTCTCGACTTTGAAAATAGCACCCCTGGTATGGAGTTAAGTGGTCATATTATAAAATGTACCTACTTTCAACCCGTCAAACGTCATATATTTTTAATATTTCGTATTCATTCAAGAGTAGTAAACTAAATATACGAACCTAAGTGAAAAGTGTCATTACTGCCTCGAAATTTATTTAACCACGGCACTTTGTATCTTGGTTGACTATCATAATCTCTTTCGACAGTTAAGAAACACTTTCCACCTCAGTACGTAATAGTCATAGATATAAGTACTATTTTTTGAGATGAGATCTAAAATAAAAACTTTATAATTGTTCAAAAATGACGAGCATTTTTTAACAAATACTTCAGTTATTCTCTTTGATCCACCCCGGATAAATAATAAATAATATATAGTAAACATAAAAACAACAATATATTTTATAATTATAATTACATTTGTACACTACACCATGTAAAGCCATCCCTGATCAGTGTTGTTCCTGGTTGTACAAAAAATTGTACAATCAGTTGAATCAGTTATGTGGTTGTACTGTTGTACGCACTTTTGAAAAAAAGTAGAAATGTTGTACAATTTAAAGTTGCTAAATATTTATGTATAATCTGGTATATAACAGCCCTGTTCTGCTCAAAAAGTCTATGAGTCGTTAAATCGTATGCATTAAAATTAATTAAAAAAATAAAGCTTAAATTTGGCGCCATTCGCGACCAATCAGTACTCCGTTTTAAATCGAAAACATTTTTTTAAACGGTAAAAAAAAGAATTTTAAGCGTCGGGAAATAAGTAGGCCATAGGCTCTATCAATAAACACGAAGAAGATTAATTGGTAGTTGTACTAATCCTACTCTGTCGATAATGTGGTTACCTGAAATATTAACTACGCTATTACTATTACTCTGTCGGTAATTTAGTTACCCGTAATATTATATTTAATTTGAAAATTGGCGGCGGCATTTTTTTCTACTAAATGAAGAATTTACTTTAGCAATTATTATTTTCTATCTAATACGAGATATTGCCATCCAAAATTTCAGTTCGTTTTTTTCATTTTTAATTAAATAAAGAAGATGTACGTGTAGGTAAACGTTATATACGTTCCTCTGGAGCCACTTTTCAAAATTTGATTAAATTTTGATGGCAAAAACGCAAAATTTTGTTTGTGTAAAGATTTTCTCAATTTTTGAGAAAATAATTAAATCAAATTTCGGAATAATTTCACTTTTACCTGAAGGTACATATTTTTCATTAAAAAAAAAATTCAAATAAACTATAGAAATGTTCAAGGCTCTATTTCGTATTGATTAGAAAAAGATAATTGAATCGGTCATTTGAGAAACAACACATGTCAGTTTTAGATAATTTTTCAAAAAATAAGAAAAAGTGAAAATCTCAAAACATGAATAAAAAATAGTTTTGTACACTTAGCGTTTAAAACTTGCTCCATTTTGGGTATAATACAATAATTATAATTTACCTTTAAATATTGCATTTTTGTAATAAAAACAAAATGGCCAAAAATGTGACATGTGTCGTTTCTCAAATGACCGATTCAATTGCTGAAGTAATTTTTCCTCTTAATTATAGTTAAAATTTTGCTTTTAAAGATGTCGAAGTCAATCCGGTATTATTGGAATTTTACTGAATTATTTGGTTCAATTTGATGTTTTTGATTCATTAAATCATCATCCATCTACTTTGTGTCACTAAATATATCTGCGAAAGTATTTAACACATAATGACACCCAATTAGGAAATTTTACATTAAACGAATACTCAGTAATTTTATGCAGTTAAAAAACATTTTCATAAGAAATTGATTAGAAACACACCTCGACATAATTTCATAATTAAATTATAACACTTCAGTTTCGCTACAGTTACATACAAGGTATTTCAAATTGACCAGCAATAGTTTTATATTTTTAACAAAATATTGATTCTCGGGAAATATTTCATTGTATCCATTTTTTTTTTTTTTTTTTTTTTTTTTTTTTTAATTACAAATGCAAATTCTTGAACTAAATACGTTAAAGATTCTGCATAATACGTACTGTACCATTTTGAATACTCTATTTTAGTGATGATGTAATTATGGTTCCACTGACAAAGTGACAGTAGATTTTTTGAGTGAGTTTTGTTTACCTAAATTATATCGTTTTTTACTTTTATAAATATACTCCTAAACTAAGTAGATAACATGCATCAAGTATACAATCGTTTAGTTACCAATTACATTCATTTAAACTATTTTTTATGACCTGTAAACAATATTTAGAAAAAAACTAAAAACAGTAAAAACTTACATTTCAAATTTATTGATGTTTTTGTTAAAAGTTTGGCTAGAATTAAATGTCAGTGGAACCAAAATGACATCACACTAAACTGGCGAATTGGAAATAATATTATTTATAATTATTGAATATATTACTTATGTTGTCATATTTTTTTTTTTTTTTCAGATCTAACTATCGCTCTCTGTGGATTTATGATCTCAGTAATGTTTATGAAGTACGGATGAATTTTTAAAAGCTGTACCTGTAAGTTTAAAGAAGTCTGTTTACAATTTGTTTATATACAAACCTATATTTTGTTGTTACCGCCAAATATACACTTTACTAACCCAGTTTATTGATTATTGTAGGTTTAACTGTAAGTAGGTATTAATACCATATGATTATTATTAGCGTAAACTTGTGTAACATTGAAATTGCAACACCCAGTAAATGTGAATATATTTTATTAATATTTTGAGAAGTTATTGGGATCAATAGGAATAATAATCGAAGAAAATATGAAACAAATTTTACAATCGTCCCAGCCTTCTACCTATCATATCCCATACATGTTCAATGGGCGATAAGTCAGGTGACCTTGCAAGCCATGGAAGTGTGGTTACATTAGCTTGTCGAAGAAAGTCTCTGGTAACTGCAGCGGTATGTGGTTTGGCGTTGTCTTGCTAAAATATGTGTTTTTTTCAGCGGTAATAAGTTTAAAAAAGTGTCTGGCTGAATGGCAATGTGCCTATGCCAAAAAAAAAAGTTTAAAAAAATTATTAACATTTTTCATAACACTTTGTTATATTTGCCGACTAATAGTTTTCTATCAAGTGATTTTTTTTTACTTTTTTAGATATTTTCGATAACTTTTTTATTCATTGAAGTTAATAGAAATGTTCCATCCACAAAAAAAAATCATTGCCAAGAGCTGTCTAAGAAATAAATTTTTCTCACTTTTTTCCAATAAGATAAAAGAAGACAAACATACCTGCCGTAATTCAAGGGAAATTTCTACCTGTTACGATGAGCATAGTTGACTCACCTGGTTTTTATTTTAAAACAGAGTACGCAATATATATGTATTTATTTTTTTCTGTGGTTGTTAATTCTTTTCTCTTTTCCACTATAATTATTTAATAGTAATATTCATTTATTAAGAAAATGTTTACATAAAATTATAGTTTGTACATCTAACTAGTTTTTACATGAAATTGATTTTGGCAACATTCAATTAAACATCCGCATAATGCCACACACGTCATGTTTAGTTTTTGACACGAACAAGCTTTCGTTGCACAATTTTTTTTACAGTTGCACGGTTTTGCTAAGTCTTCAGGTAATGGTGGTTTTGTTAAATACAGTGGCTTTATTTGGTTATCACAGAAAACATAACCAAAACCAGAGAAATCTAAAGATCACGACAAGTGCATTTGGCCTTTTTATCCTATTGAAAAAAAAAAGGTTGAATATTTTACTTCTCAGGCAGTATCTGACAATAATTTTTTCATGAATAAAAATAAATGTTTTTGTTAACTTTAATAAATAAAAAAGTTATCAAAACTATCTAAAGAAGTAAAAAAAATCACATGATACAAAACTATTAATCGGCAAATATAACAAAGTGTTATGAAAAATGTTAATAATAATTTTTTAAAACTTATTACCTCTAAAAAACACCAAAACAGTGATTCAGCGCGTCATCGGGCTTTCTCTTACCCATCTTATACATTGAGTTGGAAGTGAGATAGAAGTACTCTCTCTAAAAGTACACGCGCGTAGGAAGCATATTGTTATAACGTAAAAAAACATAACAACAAACAAAATTTTGAAAATTTATTTAGGTTATTTTGTTTATTTACAAGTAATTTACCTAACCTGTGCTACCTGGAACTATTAAACCTTTTTTAAATCAACCTTGACAAAAATCAAATTTCAACAAAAAATATTCATCTTTTTCAATTAGTTTAACAGATCAAATAGAGCAATTTTTAAATACATTATATCAAAAAGCCCTATTATCCTACAAATTTGACTTATAGAGCTAAAAAAATAGACACATACCATAGTGCGTAAAAATAATTATTAAAAATAAGCGAGCACTTTCGACTTTACAAAGCCATGTTCGAAATTCACACATTTTACTAGGAAGGATATTTTTTCAAAATAGATATTCGAACAAAATGTGTTCGAACTAAATAACTTTTGAACAAAAGGTTTTCAAACTAAATAACTTTCGAACAAAATTCCACCACCCGTTTTAAATACTCTTACCATAAAAGCAATAAAACTAATAAATTGACAAAAAATAGTAAATATATTAGATCTTATACAGGGTGTTTCAGTTTCAATGTCACAGAGTATATAAACATCCAATATTGGTTCAAAATTAAAAAAAATTATATATTTTAGTATTTAAGAGGCAATGTGATATTATTTTGAGTTTTTTTAATAAAAATATATTTTTTATAACTAAAAATAGTAGATTGATTGAGTTAATTCAATATATATTTCAAGTATTTTTGAAAACAAAAAACATGTATTTACGGATAGAAATTTTTGTTTTAATGTTTTACATGACGTGATACATAAAACATATTTATTATTTCTTAGGAATATTTTGTAATTTCAAATATGTGTATCAGCCGACCACACCGCAAAATACATAAAACAGTGAAGAAAAATATATGTATGTCGGTAGTGCACTTTCCATTTTAATTATTTTCTTTAGTCTTTTACATTCTGTTTGATTTTATATAAGTCCTCATCAAAAACACATGTATCCATAAAAAAAAAATTTTGACTTCGTGTGCTTGCTTTTAATCTACAGAAACAAACATAATTTAGTTAAAGAAGAAGAAATTTGATGTATTCAGTAATTTACAGATGAATTGTAAAATGACAGTTAAAAAAATATTAGTAAATTAACCATCTTTTTAGATTTTCTAAAAATTGTGGGCAAAAATCTCTATTTGCTGTGTCTTATAATTTTGTCTTCCAGTGTCAATTTTTATTGTAAATAGTGGATAAGAAGCAAAAAACAGTGTTACCAGTTACTGCTCTTTTAATAATATTTCAGTTGAAAATAAGTCTTTTTTTTTTTCGATACACTATTGTTGATGCTTTAGTGCTATTTGTCTATGTAAATTCTCCTATTTTTATCTGACATATTTTTTGTATTTTTTATGTGATAATAATCGTTCTCAAATATTTATTTACCGCTTTGAACAATTATATATTTTTATTTGTAACAAGTAGACCTCTTAATTTGCCTTTAATTGGTGTTAAAATATGTAGGTATTTTTCCAACCCCTGAAGTCGACTGAGCGACTTGTGTAGGGGAAGGGACGGATATTATTATTATTTGCCGTGCTAATAAAATATATAATCATTAATTTCAGCAATTATGTTCTAAGCATGTCCTAACATTATTATACTTTTGGTATTAAGGATCCACCCTAATAGCTTGTTAATATTTTATGTCTCTATATTTTTATATAAATAATATTTATGTATAAGTATTTGTTAAAGCTAATACACTTTTGAAATTAATAAATTGTGCTTTCAAAATACTCATTCCAAATAGTGACTTTAAATATAACTAAGTGTATGTTAAATTTGTTTTATTTTAAATACCTACCTACCTACCTAGTTTCCTTTTCCATATATTTATAGAATAAAAAATGTATTTTGGTTTAGGTAAACCTAATACAAAAAAGTTAAATAACTTTAAAATCATTAACATGAGTGTTCATGATATGGACATATATTATTTTCTTTGGTTTTACAGATTTTTTGCTGGTCTCAATAGTCCTTGAACCTCGCAGCAAAATAAATTGCAAATAATTTAACAATATAATTAGAAGTACAAAAGTAATTTTAAAAAACCGACTCTAGAGTTGAAGATTTTGATGATTTTTCCATGGATCCCATCATCAGATCTTGACCAAATTTATATGGGACCACTTCTGAGGTACCCCATTTCTAATAAAAAATCGTAGAAATGGAATGTGGTAAAAAATATTCCGAAGAATTGAGAAACTCCTCCTTTTTTGAAGTTTGTTAAAAATAATGAAGAGGAGGGATTCCTACGATTTTTATTATTATACTCTTCACACGGTAAACTATGAAGAGTATTTACTGTAGATTTATTTTGTCTGTCCGTCAGTTTGTCCACGCGATAAGACAAAAACGAAAATTTCAGGAAAAAATTAAGCTCTATAAGAGAACGAAGCCTATTGATTTTGAAAAAAATCTGAATGAAAAAGGAGGGTTGAAGTATAAAAAAAAACTACTCAAAAACGAACAATAATATCAACTTGAAATGTTTAGCAAAAATCAAGCTCTAATGGGACAAAGCCTATTGATTTTGAAAAAATTGATTAAAAATAGGTGGTTGAAATTAAAACAAAAATAAATCAAAAACTAAAAGAGAACAATATGACATTTTTAGTAAAAATTAAGCTCTATAAGAAGGTATATACGAAGCGAAAAAAATATGAATAAATTGGGGGGTTAAAATATTAAAAAAAATCTTAACTCAAAAACATAATCAAAAAATGATATCAACTTGAAATTATTAGCACACATCAAGCTCTATAAAGGGAAGCCCTTTGATTTTGAAAAAAGAACTGAATCCTAACTCAAAAATAAAAAATGATATCGACTTGAATTTTTTAGCAAAAATTAAGCTCTCTCTGTAAGGGAAAGAAGCCTTCTGATTTTGCAAAAAATTGATAAAAAATAGGGTGTTGAAATTAAAAAAAAAAATCAAAAACGAAAAGCAATATCAAAATGAATTTTTTAGTAAAAATAAAACTCTATAAGGAGTTGAAGTCTATTGATTCTGAAAAAAAATTGAATAAAATGCGGGGTTAAGATAAGGGGTTGAAATAATAAAAAAATCCTAACTCAAAAACAATAATGTCAACTTGAATTTTTTGCTAAAAATCAAGCTCTGTAAGGGGACAACGCCTATTGGTTTAAAAAAAATCTGAAATAAATAAGAGGATTGAAATAAAAAAAAAGAAATAACCAAAAGGGATAACATGAAATGTTTAGCAACAATCAAATTCTATAAGTGGATAAATAAATAAAAATTGGTAAATAATTAAACGTATTAATATGGTTGATCAAAACTTATAATATCAAAAAGTTGTAGAACATATTTTTATAGGTACACCTATAGAAAATGGCACATTTGAGTGAATGCATTTAACATTTTTGAGTTGAGAAAAAACATTGCATTACACTTTGGTTTTTAAATTTATAAATATGCATTTAAATTCACCAATTAAAGATTCAAACAATAGGTTGGTATTGTGCACTGAAAATGAAACTAAATGGTCAAGAAACTTGATAAAATTCACTACTCAATTTCATAGTTAAAGGTAGCAATTTAATTAAATAGGCAACACAACACACATAAATTTCAATATAGAAAAATATTGACACCAGATTTCACTTTTTAATAAACCAATCGGCTGAATCGATGAATAAAATAAAAAATAACCAAGTTACGTGTTGTCCATTGACCCCATTTCCGTCGATTTTGAAATATTCTCGAAAAGTCGGTTACAATCAGGAATCGGACACCATTGTTCAGTTTTCCCGATGATTCTAGATCCAGGACACACGAACTGCACTAAGCTAATCAGAAATAATCTTGAATAAAACTACCAAAATATTATTTTAGTTTGAATTTTAATCATTCTAATAATTTCAGTTACGTCAATGAATTAGTACAAGAAGTATCAAGAATATTTGTTAAAAAAAATAATAGTTTTTAAAATAGTATTAATTTTAAGACACGCGCAGTTTTAGCAGCATCCTTGGCAAAATTTCGGCTTTCTGAAAACTACTTATTTATATCGGCCATTAGAGCCAGTTGCAAAAACATTAATCAAAATATACAACTCGATAAACTTTGGCAGATGTTTAACTTTGAGTGATTAGGTAATTCAAATAGATCACATTCTCAAAGCTTATACGACCATGAATTTTAATTATAAAGTGACCATATTTTGCGGGACTTCTATTTGCAGTAGTGACGGGTTGGTTTATTGAAAACCAAAAAAAAAAGGGAAATATTTAATACAGCGTCACCATAAAATAGGATATTACATTACGAGTGTGGAAAGTGACATTTTTCACACGAGTGGAAAATATTGTCGCACGAGCCACAAGCCGAGTGCGACTATCACACGAGTGTGGAAAATCACTTTTCACACAATATTTTTCCTACGTCTACAAAATAATTTCATCAAAAAATGTAAAACCAGGTTAATATTATAATATAATTAAATTGTATTTAAAAAATAATCAATAATAATCGTATTTATTCAATTTTCATATTTGCTAAACAAAAAAAAAACTAAAAAACTAAAAAACAAAAAAAAATTAAAAAAACAAAAAAAATTCTGCCCCCGCAAGGATTTGAACGCGGTCGCTCCCCAGACAGCACACCAAATCCTTTGGATATCTACTGCACATCCCAATATCCACTGAA